TATGAAGAGTATTTGATTCTACCATATCTGGGTCTTGAGAAGAAGATTTTTGAAATTTCAGTCAATTCAACCCTTTTTGGCCCCATCCATCAGCCCCTGGGGGTCAGTCAGGGCTGATATGTGCATACCATCAAACTGCTATCCAATACAGATAATGCTAACCCAAATTGAATTACTTCCAATGGCAATTAAACAAATGTTGGTCCAAAATGTGATTTCCCTCTATAAACTATTTAATTGTTGGTCCAAAATGTGATTTCCCTATATAAACTATAGTAAAGTTTACTCCTTCCCCAGGGGGAAACGCGAGACCCCAGGGTCATGAAATTCACAATTTTGGTAAAACACCTTAAGACTCTTCCATCTATGAAGAGTATTTAATTCTACCATATCTGGGTCTTGAGTACAAGATTTTTGAAATTTCAGTCAATTTCACATTTTTAGGCCCCACCCAACAGCCCCGAGGGGTCCGTCAGGGCTGATATGTGCATATAACTATCAAACTGCTACCCAATAATGATAATGCTAACCTAAATTGAATTACTTCCAATGGCAATTAAGCAAATGTTGGTCCAAAATGTGATTTCCCTATATAAACTATAGTAAAGTTTACCCCCTCCCCAGGGGGAAACGTGAGACCCCAGGGTCAAGAAATTTTAGTAAAGCACCTTAAGACCCTTCTATATATGAAGAGTATTTGATTCTACCTTATCTGGATCTTGAGAAGAAGATTTTTGAAATTTTAGTCAATTTTACCCTTTTTGGCCCCGCACCTCAGGCCCCTGGGGGCTGGGGACCATATAATTCACAATTTTAGTTTACCATTGGCCATGGAAGGTTTCTGCAAAATTTCATTGAAATTGGTTCAGGGGTTTTGGAGGAGAATTCGAAAATGTAAATTGTTAACGGACGCACGACGGACGACGGACGACGCCGGACAAAAGGCGATCGCAATAGGTCACTTGAGACTTTGTCTCAGGTGACCTAATAAAATATGTATTACCTCAAATTTCTAGTTTTAAGAACACATAGCAACAGGAAATGTCTTAACTTAAACAAATGATGTACATATTGTGATACACACACACACTGCACACAGGGACCCGAGAATATGTTACAGCTGACCTAAACAATGGTGTTCAAATCGATTTTACGTGTTTAAGGGGTTTATATCAACTTTCGGTAAAAACGACACTCCAATGATAATCTATATATCATCATAGGGAGTGGCGTTTTTACCGATATCACCATAGGGAGTGGCGTTTTTACCCATATAACCATAGGGAGTGGCGTTTTTACAGACGTCACCATATGGAGTGGCGTTTTTACTGATATCACCATAGGGAGTGGCATTTTTACCGATATCACTATAGGGAGTGACGTTTTTACCGATATCACCATAGGGGGTGGCGTTTTTACCGATATCACCATAGGGCGTGGCGTTTTACCGATATCACTACTTTGGGTGGCATTTGTACCGAAAGTTTATCTCAACCCCTAAACGTGTAAATTAGTATGAAAACCCTAGTTTAGGTCCACAAAAATAGCTTTAACAAATTGTCATGTCCCTACACACTGTCATTGTATGGTGAAAAGATATAGAGGTTCCTCATCGAGTGAGTTTGAAGGATATAGTAAAAACGATCATCTTCCTTATGATCATCATAACATGTTAATATACCTATACTTTCATATTTATCAAGTACGACAACAAAATACTAAAACGCATTGATTTCAAACAGCTCATCGCTAGGAGATAATTGAAAACGTCCATATATATAGTTTTGTTATAAAAAAAACCCACTTTTGGTTGAACAGTTTTCTGTTTGGACGAATTGAAAGGTGTTTTGAGATTTTTGAAAAATTAAAAATTCGATTGATCAAATGCCGTGAAAACGTCAAAAATTGTCAAATGAAGCTGTTAATAAATACATGTTAAATGAGTATAAGACAAAGGAATATTTTATCTGATATCTAGAATTAATAAACATGCATATATATATATCGAACTCCCATGCAATGTATGATCTATCATGTTTAGTGCATACATATAAATCTACGTACCATGCAATGTCCTACCATACACCCTCAATTTCATTACAGAAGTAACGCACAAATATCTACCCTACACCCTCAATGACAGAAGTACCACACCACACGAAGATCTACCATACCCCCTCAATGTCTGACAGAAATACCACACCACACGAGGATCTACCATACACCCTCAATGTCTGACAGAAGTACCACACCACACGAAGATCTACCATACACTCTCAATGTCTTTACAGAAATAACGCACTAATATCTACCATACATCCTCAATGTCTGTACAGACGTACCACACCACACGAAGATCTACGATACACCCTCAATGTCTGTACAGAAGTACCACATCACATGAAAATCTACCATACACCCTCAATGTCTGTACAGAAGTACCACACCACACGAAGATCTACCATACCCCCTCAATGTCTGACAGAAATACCACACCACACGAAGATCTACCATACACTCTCAATGTCTTTACAGAAGTAACGCACAAATATCTACCATACATCCTCAATGTCTGTACAGAAGTACCACACCACACGAAGATCTACGATACACCCTCAATGTCTGACAGAAATACCACACCACACGAAGATCTACCATACACCCTCAATGTCTGACAGAAATACCACACCACACGAAGATCTACCATACACCCTCAATGTCTGACAGAAATACCACACCACACGAAGATCTACCATACACCCTCAATGTCTGACAGAAATACCACACCACACGAAGATCTACCATACACCCTCAATGTCTGACAGAAATACCACACCACACGAAGATCTACCATACACCCTCAATGTCTGACAGAAATACCACACCACACGAAGATCTACCATACACCCTCAATGTCTGACAGAAATACCACACCACACGAAGATCTACCATACACCCTCAATGTCTGACAGAAATACCACACCACACGAAGATCTACCATACACCCTCAATGTCTGACAGAAATACCACACCACACGAAGATCTACCATACACCCTCAATGTCTGACAGAAATACCACACCACACGAAGATCTACCATACACCCTCAATGTCTTTACAGAAGTAACGCACAAATATCTACCACACATCCTCAATGTCTGTACAGAAGTACCACACCACATGAAAATCCATCATACACCCTCAAAATCTTTACTGAAGAACCACGCAATGTCCTTCAATACACACTCAATGTCTTTACAGAAGTACCACACGAAGATCTAGACCACGCACGCAATCTGTAACAGAAGCACCACACAAAGATCTACCATACACCCAATCTGTTGTACAAGTACCAAACATTGATCTTCCATACATGATCAATGTATAAAGACTCCCAGTATATTCGTAGATAACTAGTATTACCGTTTTGTTTCCATCTCATGATCGTAGATCAGCGTCATTCTTAACCCTCCTCCATGAAACATCTTGGATAAGCGTTATTTCCCTCCCCCTCCCTGAAACATCTTAGATAAATGTTCTTCCCCTCCCCCCTCCCCCTCCCTGAAAAATCTTGGATAAGCTTCAATCCCTACACTTCTCCTTGTAATACATTGTGTATATCTTGATTAAGCGCCTATTTCATCTCTCCTCACTATAAAATCGAAGATAAGGGGACAGTCTATACCCTTTCCATGTAACAACTGATTAGCGTCCATCTTACACCCGTTCCTGTAATAGTCTGAAGAAAGACCAACTTGTCTGTGAGAATTTGGCAGAAGAGACTCCATTATTTGTTTGCATGAGATAAACAACTATTACTAGTAAAGGAGCGGACCACAAAACCTTTTCTACGTTCGATAACTGTTGCAACAAGCTCCTGGCTTGTTTATTCAATCAATGCGTCTGTGCATGGAAGCGTAACGGTAAAATTGACTGGCTTTGGAATCGGCATCCTCGATGTTTAGTGGTTACGCTCACTTTCTCTCTCTGTATCCCTGGAACAAGTCATGGCAAAATAAAAGGCACGCGGCTAGCTATTTGATTGGTGTTCGTTACAAAAAAACCCCGACCAATCCCTAAGCTGAAACCTGTAATTTAAAGATTATAGACGAGCAACACCCAACTTCAAAGCCAGTCAACTTTACCGTTACGCAACAGTGAGATTCTTTTGATGTTCGTCAAAGGGTCAAACTTCTCCTCTCGTCTCAAGCACAAGGTAGTGCACACTGAGCCTTCGATTTTGTCATGACATATTCCAGGGGTGCAGAAAGCGAAAGTGAGTATAACCCCTGGAGTATTGAGGATGTAGAATCGGGTGTCGCTCTTCTATAATATAAACACTATTATTTCACGAGGGAGGACACCAGATAATGCAAAGTGCTCGGAGGCATATTTTTTCTATATTTTTACACAGTCAAAATCACAAGTGTGCTGCATTTCATATCGGTTGCATCATTTCCTGTTCCGGCGATGCATCACCCTGTATGCCCGACGCCTGTGGAGAAGTTCCATAGGAAATGTCCTCCGGATCATTAAAGGGAAGGACTTCCTCCTAGATAATTCCTTCGCCATCGGAGCCCTCGTCCTCGTCCCTGAGGCGGCTTAACTTTCCGAAATTACAACAGGAGGCGGGGCAATCCCCGAGCGGAAACCCAAGCTTACTGTAGACGACTGCGGCTGCCGGAACAAAAAAAGCCGACACGATGACGAAGGCACCAGCCAGGTTAAGCGTGAAGAAGTCCAGATGGATGTCATCGGAATACTCCGCTTCCTCTTTCTTTGCTGAAAACAAAAATGATAAATTTACAATATTATTTCTGAACGTTTTAAAAATGATTTTCACTCTGCTGACCTTAAACTAAGTGCTAAGGATGTCCCCATATCGACGAAATGGCAATAAAATGCGTTAAAATATCTTTTTTTGTTGGTTTTCTGCACCTAAACTAATGCACATCCATAATATTAAGAAAAAAATGTGACTTCGTCGTATGTCTATTTGTTTATTTCATGTCACAAGATGGTTTAGGTTTAGAGTGGACTATCCCCTAGGCTGCCTGTAACCTTGTAGCTGGAAGTCAGTCTGACAAGGTATACATGAAATACTAGTTTAAGTTGTCAAGTTGTGACGCCGTAACGGACTTTCGAGGCATCTTTCACATAAGCTGTTTTATCATATGCTTCGGGACAATTTCAATAAGGATTATCATTCTGTTGACATTAAATACCACGGATTAGTCCTAAGTGGACGCAATCGACGTATGGTACATTAAACGATGAATTTAATTTTCAAATACATGTATGTACACACTTAGGTTTAAAGTGGTGAGGGCATCTTACCTGTGGCTGCCACTATGATCTCCCCGATCCCTGTGCACGTGTACAGCACCCCGAACGCCAGGCAGTATTGCTCCTTTAGGAACTGGGCAGTTAGGATCACATCCCGTAGCGACTCTGTAGTGGCTTCATATGTAAAAAAGTATTTATGTAGAAACATGTCTTCAATGTGCATGCGATAGTTTACAACATGCTTTCTATTCGCAATTCTACACAAACCTTATACATATTTTTTATAACATTGTTATATCACTATAAACAAGCACAAAAAATGAACTTCAATCTTCTGCTACAGTAAGTTAAGTTCGAATGGTCATTTTTGGTCAAAGTGTACATCATCCCACTACAACAATGCTACATGATGACTCATGTGGGTCCCTTCAGCGTCGGATCTTCGGTGTCGTCTGCCTATGGGACACCGAAGATGCAAAAGTAGATTTGCTGCACCAATTGCATCAGCCGAGATTTTTATATTTTCCATTCTACCAGTTTCCTACTACAAGTCTTACACTACCCTGTCTTTCTTAAAATACATACAGTTAACTCATTGACCACTACCGTGCGTGCGGTCATGCATTCTCTTCGTTCTGTCGCCCGGCTGTTAGGACTAGATCATACACCTTAAGTGATATATAATGGCAGACCACACAATATAAATCACTGACCTGCAGCCACGCCAACGATGATGATGAACACAACTATGAGCCCGTCCGAGTGGTCAACTTTAGGAATTGCTAACGTGTAAACACCGGCAACCAGGGTGAAGGCCATCAGGATGATATGAGGGAAGTAACCGGCCACACAGCGCTTGGAGAACATTAGGATAGGGCCCAACCACTGGGCCAGAAAAAAGAGAATTAGGTTGAGGCTGCCGGTCAGCAGAGTTCCCGCTTGCTCGTCCAGGTAACCAAATCCTGCAAATAGACAAAATGCGACGGATGTTCAAAAGTTTTGCTTATACGCATACCGAAAACATACAAAGCATCAGAGTCTGATTTCGTTTTATTGAACCTTTAAAAATACATGTATTCTCCTTCAAAAACTTTGCACACCGCAATATTTCTACCCTTCATGGAAACGCCCTTGGTAGAACCCTCACATACTGAATTATTGCATTTCCCACTGTATTTCTGGACCAATACCGTCTACCTTGAAAATCTTGGAAATAACGGGATTGTTGAGGAGTACAACAGTTCTCATTTTTAAGAATTCCTATCAATTTTGCTCCGACAGGCTAGAGAATAGTCATGGATTGGTCTAAAGGTACCAATACCGGTCTTTGGTGTTTTTCTTAACCGAAGAATTTCTTCATTGATTTTATCTATTGCATCTGTAAAACTGTCATTAACACCCTTACGTTTTTTAAGTGGCAGTTTGTGTCCCCGGGGAATTATAAGAAAATGGTATACGACATTTTCTTCGTGCAATGACATGACAATAACTGGTCTTCCATTTTTTGAACAACCAATATTTTATTATCATGGTTTTCTTGCGTTCCGAAAAAGTGAAAAGGTCAGCTAGTTGTGTTTGTGTTTTCCTGCTTTCAAGCCAACCATCTTTTTAGGCAGTAATATCGCCTTTGATTATGATAGTCTCGGTCACCGCTTGCAATCTTGCACACTGTATCCGGGTTACAGACTGAAACATTTGTCATAATATCCGTATCCTTGACAACCAGACCAATACAAATTAACATCAGTCAGTATCGACGTAGAGGCCATATTATTGACAATCAGACCCATGCTATTTGGCATGGGCCTTCATTCGTTTATATTGGATATGTACCAATCATGGACAAGTTTATATTAATGTGTAGTCTGCACGTACCCAGACGCTGGAATAAGAAGCAAACCATCAACAGGTAAATGGCAGGGTGTTTCAATATGCTCCATGTGAGTTTTCGCTTGGTCTTTGCCGGTTCGTTGGTGCCTCGCACGATGACGGAACTATCGTGAAACTCGACAGGTGTAAGATCAAAAGCTGATCCAAACGCAAACACCATCACCAAAAGCTGCCAGCGGAAAAGTGATCGCCAGGAATTCCCGGTCGCCATCCGCATCAAGGCACACGCGACATAGCCAAACGTCTCAGCCTGGTGAACAGCGTGAAGCGCTCGGAAGATTCCGTCGTCAAAATGTTCCAGCACCGGTAAAATTGCGCAAATGTAAAGAAAGCCGGAAGCCATTCCTGAAAAATAAACAAATAAGATAAATTCAAATTCTATAAGGTTTCCTTAACGAAATTTTGCATTGCAATGGACCAGTGATTATTCCAAATATAAAATATATTCTGAATTACTTCAGTTCATGCATACATAACTTACATGCACATCCCCTCCAGTGTTTCGACTTGACAGCAATGCTGACTTTTGAATTAGAACTCGTAGCTATCAATCTAATTCTATGTAAAAGCCTAAGTAAAGTAATATTCATTTTGACAATATTGCATTGATTTGCTTTAAACTGTACATACCAACCCCTCTGCATGGCAACATTATAGAGATACTTACGCAAGTTACTTCTTCCGCCATGAAGCATTGTAAACCTATATGTGAGACTGACGCCCCCTACAGAACAATACGATTGTATCAGTACACAGCATCAGTACTGTGACGCCTATATGTGTCATTGCACTGACACCCCCTTTTGAACGTTGTACACGTACCTGCTACGCCCCCTATAAGAAAGCCAATGAGAGCGACGAGTGAGGTATTCAGGAAAGACGTGATGAGAACGGTAAGGCCAAGCACAGTAGAAGAAACCAAAGCAACCATCCTGTACTCAAACCTCACCAGCACGATTGACGCCAATAACACTACAACAAAGATTCTGAAGTTACATTTTGTGTGACATTGATACCACACCCTCAATGGTTGAGATCTTTATTACGGGTATGGGGTTTTACAAGGGAGATTACATGGGCAGATCAGTGGGTATGCAGAATGGATGGTACATAATGAAGACCATTTATGCAGCTGAAAAAGGCTTCGGCTACAATACGGCCGTAGAGATATGTTTAGGTACTATCATTAAACAATGACTACGTGGTTATTGTTCTTTGTCTTGTGATTTTGTCAAACACAAGTGTTTAATGTTGATGTAAAAGGGTGAATGGCCTCAACAGTTTGATAAATAGCATTGTTCGCACTTTTGCTGATATATCAATTAGAGTAATACGCATCAAACAAGCATGTGTTTGCTGGGTTATAAATTAAGGACGACTGCTGTCAGAAGGTCGCTCCACGCATTTGTGTCCGTTTAAACCGTAACCAAAGGACAAAGTAAAATAAAACAAGCTTAGTAAGATATGTATATACTAGTAATGTATTATTCATCAGTCAAAATAATTATTATAACATCAAAATGGCTAAAATAATAAATCAGGCCAATACTAGAGAAAATGATATGAAAAAGATAGAAAATTATAAATATTGCAGGTCATAGGTTAATTTTGAAATATATCTAAACAAATTATAAGATTGGTCTGAAATATATAGAACGGTGGTTGTGTAACATGGACCCGCTTATAATAGAAATTGACATTTAACTGTTGCTATGCACCATAAACCTACCAGACAGAATCCGAGTACACGTGAAAGCCAGCTGAATCTGGTCTTGGTGCTCGCCCCAGTCCGTCAGGTCCTTCTTCACCTGATCCGCTATTCCTATCTGCTCGAAGACCCAGGCAAACAGTTGACTCTCCCCGCTGATCATGGAGGTCACTACGCTGTTACATAGATTAATGAGGACACAGGACGTCAAAAGGCCGCAACAGCCTGCGCGGGTCTCCGATGGCACTGTCGTCTGCTGGCGCCATCTCTGACGACAGAGAAAAAAGGAAAGTTACGAATCAAGATTGAGATTGCAAGTTAACTAATGACGTTGCATCAAGATGGTGAATCTATGAAATAAGTTGGCAAAATTTAAATCTCTAATAAATTAGAGCCTTTTTTCAATAACATCCTCTACAATTATCCCAAAAACTTAAGTGTTCAACATCTTTTGGTCCTGTATAGTGAGAGGAGGTCATATTTCCAAATCCAAGCGCTTGGAACATTTAGATGATATGTAAGTTATACTTGGTTCGTACATACTCATTACATAGGCGCTAGAATGGCAAGAAAAGGTGCATAAAAGATACCTCCTTCGTTGGGGTAAAATCCTTGACTGGTTTTTTTTTTATCCTATTCAGTAACATAGGAGATCTCTGGTCGGCTAACTCGTATTTTGTATTGGATATATTAAAAGTAACACGCCTTGTTAGACCTCTCACATTATTGGAGTAGGTTTTATCCCAATTGATGACCGTAAATGAGGACAACTATTACATAAGAGTGTTTTTCTCTCATATCAAAATATGAACATAATTATGCATTTAATTTATGCTTCAATTTTCTGCCACCACATTTGTTTTTTTATAAGTCTGATCAAAGCAGGGGGACTACATAAAGAACTCTTTTAGTAATTTCAATGAGGTTCATTGTATGGCAAGTTCATATCCTGTAAACAGTATACGGTGTTTAACGCTTTTCCGTTGCAGGCATTTTATTTGCTGGCGATAATAGACTCGAAGGAGTTATTTTACCCTTTTTCTTGTCAATCTAATGCAGTTTTCCTATTCATTACATTGAACGGTGCTCAGAGACTACATAAAATGCATTCCTTACTTATTGCATTTCTACATAATCCATTCATGCAAAGGCGTGTGGCGGATGTTCACCAATATTTCACAAATACATAGACATTAAGGAAAACTTGAAATAGTAGGTGTACAATTTTTATGTTATAACTGAGAACCGATATAAAGGTTTTCAAGTTAGACACAGACCGGGACTTTCTGACTGCAAGTGGCCAAGACACGCGTATGGCATTTCGGGAAATAAGTAAATAAACCAACCATATACGTTTTATTTCAATAGTTCCCGATAATTTCGAGCATACTTTAATATTATTCGGCGGATTTATGTTTTTGGTTTTTTTTGCGGGGGGGGGGGGGGGGGGGNGGGGGGGGGGATTTTCAGTTAGTTAAAATACAATTCAGGGATGCATTGTTTAATTTCTTATTGCTTGACATATACGGAATTTAGGAAGAGTTTCTAGATATTATGCCAATTAAACTCAAACACACCTACACTGCATTCCTTCTGTATGCTTTGTAAATTAAAGCAAAACATGGATTCGAGCTCAATTTTCAGCAGAACCGTTTAAAATCGTTTTTGGAATTCATTCCGTCATTTGGCTTTTGCAATGTGGACTGAATGCTGGGATGTTTTTCGACTGGTTTTCGTATGTGTTTACCTCTTACATGCTTTACATCAAAGCAGCAGATATAACATTATCTTGTACACAAAACATCCAATAACAGTTCCTCTCTAGCTCCATAAAATCACAGCGATATCACGTATTTACTCCATTCATTACTGGAGTTAGCGGCCTCATACTCACCAATGTTTTTAAATTGTTGGCGTTCCAACAGCTCATAACGCGCTATCGAAATTCATCAGTTTCCGTTGAACGATCAACACCGTTTTCTACATGCGTGTAATCTTTTTCGTCAATTTCTTCAATGTCCATTATTTGTTCACAGGAACACATTTATTGCAGAATTCTACCCAAATACACAAGTACCCTGTCGCTTACGCTTACGCCCAATAAAATGTGGGTTTCAGGTAACATGACTTTAAAAAGGGGCAGGTTGTAAGGCGAATATATTAATTTTGTTTTTTTATTTTCACTGATCAAAATTTAGCTTTATATCTTACAATACATTTCTAAACCTTACAGTGGTTATTAAGCTGCCAAGAATGAGGTCGGGCTCCCAAAACAGGAAGAAAGTGCATTTAATTGAGTGACTGGGCTGTGTGTGTGTGTGTGTGTGTGTGTGGGTGTGGGTGTGTGTGTGTTGGTTTACACTACAAAACGAGGTACAGACCATGAGTACACAACCACGAAGCGAGGTAACAAAAAAAACCGAGGTACTTTTTCCCGTTACCTCGATTTGCCCAACTCGGTATCCGCTTACAAACTCTTTTCCGAGCATGCAGACGAAAATTTAGTTTATACCCCACTCCACCGCTGGCTTGTAATCACACAGTGTGTTGCCGTACCAAGTGTGTGTGTGTGATTAGGTGTGTGTGTGTGTGTGTGTGTGTGTGTGTGTGTGATTTAAAGCTTATTAATCGGAACTGAACGTGTTTGTATACTGCTTGTTATGGTTGCTTTAACTATGATATTACTGTGGTATAATTAACCTTATTTAACAGTCGGCTGTAAATTCCTGTAATGGTTTGTGTTACCACATTTACAACTTACCGCCATAAATAAAGTTTTATTTCATTCACCTTTTCCCGAGTGTCGGTGACCGTTGTAGAACCTGGCCCTGTGCCTAGTTGTGTGTTCCCCACTACAATTGTGGTGGTTATCCCGGGGGCTCCTCCAATTACGTGGGTCACGCCACTTATCGGCCTGTACCCTGGGGCCTGCTGCATCGAGAGGTGCTGTGCGTGTAGCGGCTGGCGAAACCGGTGATCCTCTAGAATATCCCAAGTAAAGTGTTCAGTTCATTTTTTTAAAATAGCATAACTTCCTCGTATTGCCTGAGCAGTCAGTTCCGTCATGCACCATGAGCCAGGCAAATGAGAGCTCAGTACGTTTCATACAAAAAACACTATTCCCACAATAGGGACTCAATTACAGGATCGTGTTTGGGGCTTTCTTTGTGTGTATAAATGCAAACATGCAGTATGTACCTGACTCTCAAGCTCCTGCACTTTTCTGAAAATACACATACAAATACAGGGTTTTAATCCTTCGACAGTCATCTTATTAAATACATATATGTAAATGAACGTTTATCAAAATTGTAATTTTGTATTTGACAGCTCTATTTTTTTCTTTAAAACAATATTTTTGCTGTTGATTTTTCAATGTTCATCTATATTTAGTGCTCAAATTGTTTAACTGTCATTGCGTTCACTACATCCGATGGGAAGTTGTTCCATATGTCGTTGACGTAAAACATCTTGTATACTAGAGATCAACAGGTTTATTGTGTTACCTTGTCCAAGGGATTCTCCTGACATATCGAATAAGATATCTTTTCATCCGCACTAAAATATCTTTTTTCAACATTTATCTTTTCACCCAAATTGGATTTCATAGTTTGACCCATTTTTCCTTATTTGGTCCTTCTGTCGCCATGGGGAGGAGGGCACAACTTGCATCTAGGCCTGTGCAACGTTGCATTATTTAGGTAGAGATACCCCATGCCAAGCATAGTCAAAATGATTTTACCCATACACACATTCATGTTTATATAGTGTGCCTCTTGTGCTTTATCATTCTCGATATCCAGGGGTTACGCTCACTTTCGCTCTCTATACCCCTGGAATATGTCATAGCAAAATTGAAGGCTCAATGTGCAGCACCTTGTGGACGAGACGAGAAAACTAGTTCGATCCTTTGATGAACATCAAAAGAATCTCGAAAGAACCGGTATTTCACTCCCTCGACCTGACGGCGACAATGCGAAATACGCGTATCAACCACGTTGAGCCAAGGGTTACGATCCATTACTGCCTACAGTAGTCTGTCTATTTCATATTTTCTCACATATTTACATACCAGTCCAGATGCAGACGCCTGCGGTGGAAGCGACCGTGCCATATATATTCTATCATTCTAGGGTTACTTTTTTCTTCTTTTTCTTACAGTAAGAGACGAATCTCCAAGAATGGAGCGATTACTAAATGACCGATTGACTAATCTGTTCAAAATTGTCTTTGAAATGAGGGGATTGTTATCCTCAACCAAACATTAGATGATGCATTTTAGTTCCAGCGCATGCATGCATGGCTCAGAGTTCAGTGGATGTTTCAAAGTAGCCTGAGTTTCCTCTGGCCCCGACACCAGACTTAGACATTTTGACAGATAAAGACGTCTAAGTCTGGTGTCAGGGCCAGAGGAAACTCGGGCTAGTTTCAAACTTGTTTCAGGTTATCAGGTATGAACACTCTGCCGATTGAGCTATATAGCTTTATTGACCTATCCAAAAAAGGACTTTTGAGCTATTTTCATGTGATTTTCTTTTTTAAGGAAAACGAAACAAAGTCGCTTTTAAAAGAAGATTTTATCATTAGGTAGATAACAAAAGACATTAAATATAAGTATTCTTTTTAATAAATAGGGATGTAAAAAAATCGAAAATTTAACATTTATGAAAAATGAAAAAAATCGTCTTTCGTCTGTCTGTTGCTTTTTCTTTCTCAAGAAGTGCTGAGCAGATCTTTAACTTATTATCCTCCTTAGTTGTATCTTCCCTCATTTTGAAACAGATCGAAAGAACAAGATGGCCACCAGGCAGACATCTTGGAATTTGATTGTTAAAAATTACTATACGTATTTCTCAAGATGTAATGGACAGATCACCAACAACTTTCAAGTATAGTTTCCCCCTTGTCTCCAGTTGGAGATAAACATGAAGTTTAGTTTTGAAACTAGCAGAGAAGAGCTAAAACAACTTGGTGGCTGCAGGCGACCAGATTTTGACAGGTAACGGTTAAATTGAAGTTTTTTTTATCGATAATTTCGACCAGGCACCCTTCTCGGGTTTTAATAATTCAAATTTGTAATCGTTATTTCTCAAAAAGTGCTTGACAGATAATTTTGAAATGTATCTGTGTACTTTCCTAGGTTCTTAAAGTTGTGTCTCATATATTGACACTAATCAGAAGGACAAGATGGCCCCTCGTCAGCCGTATTCGACTGATTTTTGTAGTTTAAGCTATATTTTTTTAGTCGTTAATTTATTCTCAAGAAGTACCGGAACGATCTTTTTAACATTTCGTAATTATGAATAGGTCTTAGTGATGCATACTGCATTTTGAAACTAATCGTACGAAAGAGCAAGATGGCCACCAGGCAGTCATCATTGATTTTGCCACGATTTAAGATTGTCATTATTTCTCAAGACGAACTGGACAGATCTTTATCACACTCCATCTGTAGGTTGACTTGTCCTACGTCCCAATTGGTGCATGTTTCATTTTGAGGCAGATCGGAAGAACAAGATGACCAGCATTTTCTAAATACTTAAATTTACGGTCTTCGCACTAGATTTTCCTTGCTTTGCGATATAAACGATTTCTATTCAGATACATTTTGTGAGTTACGGTATTGTGATAAGTTTCGGTCCTGAATAGATGTTGTGATGACAACAGTTCTTTATACGATGATTATACGTAGATCTCTGTCTTAAAATTAGATACGGTAATAGTATAGTCTACCAGTGGAAAATTGAACCGGGATCAGTTTTCAGTGATGAAAATGGAGCAGAGGAGCCGTTGAAAAAGAAACCAAATTCGAATATATTTTTACATAGCAATTGAAAATGAACGCCGCAGAAATATAAATCATGCGGAGGTATACATTACGAACAATTGATATTGAGGGCCTGTATCGCTCACCTGTTTCTTTTGTTACATGCAACTGACATATAGGTAACTTAAGACCATTTGGTAACTAGAACACAAGACATTTTAACATTTCTTAAACGGTTCTGAAGATATTGTTGTTTAAAACCTAAAATATTAATTTTAAAGCTTTTTAAAGCTTTTAACCCATATTGACCTTTGAATCCCGATTTGCACTTAAAGTTGACCTTTGACCTTATTACTGTAATGAAGAAAACAATTCACACAGCTGGTCTACATAACAAACCTAAGTATCATGACTAGTCCAAATGGTTCTTAGGATATTGTTGTTTGAAGTTTTTAACATATTTGACCCCTGTGACCTTGAAAGTAGGTCAAGGTAATTTTAATGAGGAAACTTTATAGCACTCCATCCCAGGTACCTACTGGCTAAATATCATGACCCCGGGCCTAATGGAACTTGAGAAGGAGATTGTTAAAGCTTTTAACCAAAGTTGACATTTGACCCCCGACTAGCATTGAAAGAAGGTCAAGGTCATTTCCTTCCTCAAACTTTGTCGGGCTCTATCCCAGGAAGCAATCAATCAAATATAAAGATTCTATACCTCTCAGTTCTTCAGAAGAATTAATTTGAAGCTTTTGACACATTTGACCCATGTGACCTTGAAAGTAGAACAAGGTAATTTTCATTCTCAAACTTTGTTGGGCTCCATCCCAGGAACCAATCAGCCAAATATGAAGATTCTATACCTTTAAGTTCTTCAGAAGAAGTCGTTTGAAGTTTTTGACATATTTGACCCCTGTGACCTTGAAAGTAGGTCAAACTAATTTTCTTCCTCAAACTTTGTTGGGCTCTATCTCAGGAAGCCACCAGCCAAATATAAAGATTCTATACCCTTCAGTTCTTCAGAAGAAGTCATTTGAAGCTTTTTACACATTTGACTCCTGTGACCTTGAAAGTAGGTCAAGNTGGGCTCTATCCCAGAAAGCCACCAGCCAAATATAAAGATTCTATGCCTTTCAGTTCTTCAGAAGAAGTTGTTTGAAGTGTTTGACACATTTGACCCCTGTGACCTTGAAAGAAGGTCAAAGTCATTTTCATTCTCAAACTTTGTTAAGCTCCATCCCAGGAAGCCATCAGTCAAATATTAAGATTCTATACCTTTTAGTTCTTCAGAAGAAGTCGTTTGAAGTTTTTGACATATTTGACCCCTGTGACCTTTAAAATAGGTCAAGGTCATTTTCGTTCTCAAACTTTGTAGGGCTCCTACCAACAAAGCTTTCAGCCAAATATCATGATTCTAGGCCTAACCGTCCTTCAGAAGAAGTTGTTTAAAGGAAAAGTTGACGGACGAGGACGGACGGACGGACGACGGACGCCGCACCACGACATAAGCTCACTTGCCCTTCGGGCAGGTGAGCTAAAAACCGATAAAAAAATGTCAATTCTTTTAAAATTTGTTTCGATAATTAATTTGACGATCGAAGATAATAATTCTTATACCAAACAATGCTTTTGTTCAGGCGGGCCTCTGTTGAGAATTTCTTTTTAGTGTATTCGAGTTATCTTTCTTTGAACACTAAATCAAAATAGACGCCCGGAAACACACGACGGCTTCTTACGACGGGAGAAATTTGTTAAAAATTGTTTGTTCTGAAGTTTTTTTAAATGCTGTTTTTTGTTGCTATTTTTTTTTCTATTAGTAGATTGTATACATGTATATCACAGTCGTCCGTAATTTCAACAGTTTTCTGCCGATATGAGTACGAAATCGCGGATGCTTCTTAAGTGCGCGGAAACCGATAACACGAGGATACATCATGATAAAAAATATCGGGCTCAGAATTTAATGTAACACCGTTGTTTGACAAAATATGCTAACGTACTTTGCATAATATCCTTTCTATGTAATCGTTGTAAAATGGCTCGGGTCAATACTCATTGTCGAAAAAGAAATATTGAAAAGTAGGTCACTTTGACCTTATTTGGTCGGACGACGGACGCCAATGTGCAAAATAAGATCGCTGTAGTCTTTCGGTCAAGGTGAGCTTATATAATTATGAAACTGACAGGGATCCGTCCTCTACGACAAAGAAAGTTTTAACGGTTCCCAAGTTCCATTTTCAACGTTGAAAATTGACCTCGGTTCCATTTTCTACTGGGGTCCATTTTCGCTGTACCGGTATTCACGTGTGAGGCTCGGTCCTAGACAGATACTGTAATGAATGTATGCATATGTTTCTCGGTCATAGGCATTTCTTGTTATTAAACAAAACCTCAGGGAAACACGTGGAGACAAATTCATTTATTTCTTTTTGGCATACAATTAAAAAGAACTTGATTGATATATCATGACAGTTGATGTGATGAACAAGAGGCCCATGTGCCTTAACGGTCACCTGATATATTTATCGGAGAGTTGATTTTTGTTGTTAACATGAACAGAAATATTATTCAAAGTGACAAAAAACAATAAAACCACCTTATTCAATATCTAGCATGCAGATTTAAGACTGAAAAGTATTTGAAACTAGCACCTCTGATTCTAAACAATGAAAATGAAGAAATTTTATTTTAGCACATTTGGCCCCACCCTTCAGCCCTTGGGGGTAGGGATGGCTCAAAATTTACAAAGTATCAAACTGTCAACTTAGGGTTATAATTCCAATCAAGTTATCAACATGTAATATTCAAAGTATCATTTGCCATTATAAACCATAACAAATTTTGCCCCCTCCACTCCTTCCCCAGGAGGAAACGCGAGACCTCAGGGTCATGAAATTCACAATTTTGGTAAAACACCTTAAGACCCTTCCATCTATGAAAAGTATTTGATTCTACCATATCTGGGTCTTGAGAAGAAGATTTTTGAAATTTCAGTCAATTCAACCCTTTTTGGCCCCATCCATCAGCCCCTGGGGGTCAGTCAGGGCTGATATGTGCCTACCTTCAAACTGCTATCCAATACAGATAATGCTAACCCAAACTGAATTACTTCCAATGGCAATTAAACAAATGTTGGTCCAAAATGTGATTTCCCTATATAAACTATAGTAAAGTTTACCCCCTCCCCAGGGGGAAACGTGAGACCCCAGGGTTAAGAAATTTTAGTAAAGCACCTTAAGACCCTTCTATCTATAAAGAGTATTTGATTCTACCATATCTGGATCTTGAGAAGAAGATTTTTGAAATTTTAGTCAATTTTAACCTTTTTGGCCCCGCCCCTCAGGCCCCTGGGGGCTGGGGACCATATAATTCACAATTTGAGTTGACCATTTGCCATGGAAGGTTTCTGCAAAATTTCATTGAAATTGGTTCAGGGGTTTTGGAGAAGAAGTCGAAAATGTAAATTGTTTACGGACGCACGACGGACGACGAACGACGCCGGACAAAAGGCGATCGCAATAGGTCACTTGAGACTTTGTCTCAGGTGACCTAATAAAATATGTATTACCTCAAATTTCTAGTTTAAAGAACACATAGCAACAGGAAATGTTCAAATCGATTTTACGTGTTTAAAGGGTTTAGATCAACTTTCGGTAAAAACGACACTCCAATGATAATATATATATCATCATAGGGAGTGGCGTTTTACCGATATCACCATATGGAGTGACGTTTTTACCGATATCACCATAGGGAGTGGCGTTTTTAACGATATCACCATAGGGAGTGGCGTTTTTACCGATATAACCATAGGGAGTGGCGTTTTTATCGATATCACCATAGGGGGTGGCGTTTTTACCGATATCACCATAGGGAGTGGCGTTTTACCGATATCACTACTTTGGGTGGCATTTGTACCGAAAGTTTAACTCAACCACTTAACGTGTAAATTAGTATGAAACCCTAGTTTAGATCCAAAAATAGCTTTAACAAATTGTCATGTCCCTGTGACACTATACACTGTCATTGTGTGGTGAAAAGATATAGAGGTTCCTCATCGAGTGAGTTTGAAGAATATAGTAAAAACGATCATATTCCTCATGATCATCATACCATGTTAATATACCTATACTTTCATATTTATCAAGTACGACATCAAAATACTAAAACGCATTGATTTCAAACAGCTCATCGCTAGGAAATAATTGAAAACGTCCATATATATTGTTTTGTTATATAAAAAACCACTTTTGGTTGAACAGTTTTCTGTTTGGACGAATTGAAAGGTGTTTTGAGATTTTTGAAAAATTGAAAATTCGATTGATCAAATGCCGTGAAAACGTCGAAAATTGTAAAATGAAGCTGTTAATAAATACATGTTAAATGAGTATAAGACAAAGGAATATTTTATCTGATATCTAGAATTAATAAACATGCATATATATATATCGAACTCCCATGCAATGTATGATCTATCATGTTTAGTGCATACATATAAATCTACGTACCATGCAATGTCCTACCATACACTCTCAATATCATTACTGAAGTAACGCACAAATATCTACCCTACACCCTCAATGACAGAAGTACCACACCACACGCAGATCCACGATACACCCTCAATGTCTGTACAGAAGTACCACATCACATGAAAATCTACCATACACCCTCAATGTCTGTACAGAAGTACCACACCACACGAAGATCTACGATACACCCTCAATGTCTGTACAGACGTAACACATCACATGAAAATCTACCATACACCCTCAATGTCTGTACAGAAGTACCACACCACACGAAGATCTACGATACACCATCAATGTCTGACAGAAATACCACACCACACGAAGATCTACGATACAACCTCAATGTCTGACAGAAATACCAGACCACACGAAGATCTACCATACACTCTCAATGTCTGTACAGAAGTAACGCACAAATATCTTCCACACATCCTCAATGTTTGTACAGAAGTACCACACCACATGAAAATCCATCATACACCCTCAAAATCTTTACTTAAGAACCACGCAATGTCCTTCAATACACACTCAATGTCTTTACAGAAGTACCACACGAAGATCTAGACCACGCACGCAATCTGTAACAGAAGCACCACACAAAGATCTACCATACACCCAATCTGTTGTACAAGTACCAAACATTGATCTTCAATACATGATCAATGTATAAAGACTCCCAGTATATTCGTAGATAACTAGTATTACCGTTTTATTTTCCATTTCATGATCGTAGATCAGCGTCATTCTTAACCCTCCTCCATGAAACATCTTGGATAAGCGTTATTCCTCTCCCTCTCCCTGAAACATCTTAGATAAATGTTCTTCCCCTCCCCCCTCCCCCTCCCTGAAAAATCTTGGATAAGCTTCAATCCCTACACTTCTCCTTGTTATACATTATGTATATCTTGATTAAGCGCCTATTTCATCTCTCCTCACTATAAAATCGAAGATAAGGGGGCAGTCTATACCCTTTCCATGTAACAACTGATTAGCGTCCATCTTACACCCGTTCCTGTAATAGTCTGACGAAAGACCAACTTGTCTGTGAGAACTTGGCAGTAGAGACTCCATTATTTGTTTGCATGAGATAAACAACTATTACTAGTAAAGGAGCGGACCACAAAACCTTTTCTACGTTAGATAACTGTTGCAACAAGCTCCTGGCTTGTTTATTCAATCAATGTTTCTGTGCATGGAAGCGTAACGGTAAAATTGACTGGCTTTGGAATCGGCATCCTCCATGTTTAGTGGTTACGCTCACGTTCTCTCTCTGTATCCCTGAAACAAGTCATGCCAAATAAAAAGCACGCGGCTAGCTATTTGATTGGTGTTCGTTAAAAAACCCACCCGACCAATCCCTAAGCTGAAACCTGTAATTTAAAGATTAAAGACGAGCAACACCCGACTTCAAGGCCAGTCAACTTTACCGTTACGCAACAGTGAGATTCTTTTGATGTTCGTCAAAGGCTCAAACCTCTCCTCTCGTCTCAAGCACAAGGTAGTGCACACTGAACCTTCGATTTTGTCATGACATATTCCAGGGGTGCAGAAAGCGAAAGTGAGTATAACCCCTGGAGTATTGAGGATGTAGAATCGGGTGTCGCTCTTCTATAATATCAACACTATTATTTCACGAGGGAAGACGCCAGATAATGCAAAGAGCTCGGAGGCATATTTTTTTCTATATTTTTACACGGTCAAAATCACAAGTGTGCTGCATTTCATACCGGTTGCATCATTTCCTGTTCCGGCGATGCATCACCCTGTATGCCCGACGCCTGTGGAGAAGTTCCATAGGAAATGTCCTCCGGATCATTAAAGGGAAGGACTTCCTCCTGGATAATTCCTTCGCCATCGGAGCCCTCGTCCTCGTCCCTGAGGCGGCTAAACTTTCCGAAATTACAACAGGAGGCGGGGCAATCCCCAAGCGGAAACCCAAGCTTACTGTAGACGACTGCGGCTGCCAGAACAAAGAAAGCCGACACGATGATGAAGGCACCGGCCAGGTTAAGCGTGAAGAAGTCCAGATGGATGTCATCGGAATACTTCGCTTCCTCTTTCTTTGCTGAAAACAAAAGTTATAATATTACAAAATTATTTCTGAACATTTTAAAAATGATTTTCACTCTGCTGACCTTAAATTAAGTGCTAAGGATGTCCCCATGTCGACGAAATGGCCATAAGATGCGTTAAAATATATTTTTTGTTGGTTTTCTGCACCGAAACTAATGCACATCCTTAATATTAAGAAAAAAATGTTCCTTCGTCGTATTTCTATTTGTTTATTTTATGTCACAAGATGGTTTAGGTTTAGAGTGGACTATCCCCTAGGCTGCCTGTAACCTTGTAGCTGGAAGTCAGTCTGACAAGGTATACATGAAATACTAGTTTAAGTTGTGACGCCGTAACGGACTTTCGAGGCATCTTTCACATAAGCTGTATTATCATATGCTTCGGGACACTTTCAATAAGGATTATCATTCTGTTGACATTAAATACCACGGATTAGTCCTAAGTGGACGCAATCGACGTATGGTACATTAAACGATAAATTCAATTTTCAAATAAATGTATGTACACAATTAGGTTTAAAGTGGTGAGGGCATCTTACCTGTGGCTGCCACTATGATCTCCCCAATCCCTGTGCACGTGTACAGCACCCCGAACGCCAGGCAGTATTGCTCCTTTAGGAACTGGGCAGTTAGGATCACATCCCGTAGCGACTCTGTAGTGGCTTCATATGCAAATAAGAATTTATGTAGAAACATTTCTTCAATGTGCATGCGATAGTTTACAACATGCTTTCTATTCGCAATTATATAAAAACCTTATGAATTTTTTTTATAACATTGTTATATCACTATAAACAAGCACAAAAAATGAACAATCTTCTGCTACAGTAAGTAAAGTTCGAATGATCATTTTTGGTCAAAGCGTACATCATCCCACTACAACAATGCTACATGATGACTCATGTGGGTCCCTTCAGCGTCGGATCTTCGGTGTCGTCTGCCTATGGGACACCGAAGATGCAAAAGTAGATCTGCTGCACCAATTGCATCAGCCGAGATTTTTATATTTTCCATTCTACCAGTTTCCTACTACAAGTCTTACACTACCCTGTCTTTCTTAAAATACATACAGTTAACTCATTGACTACTGCCGTGCGTGCGGTCATGCATTCTCTTCGTTCTGTCGCTCGGCTGTTGGGACTAGATCATACACCTTAAGTGATATATAATGGCAGACCACACAATATAAATCACTGACCTGCAGCCACGCCAACGATGATGATGAACACAACTATGAGCCCGTCCGAGTGGTCAACTTTAGGAATTGCTAACGTGTAAACACCGGCAACCAGGGTGAAGGCCATCAGGATGATATGAGGGAAGTAACCGGCCACACAGCGCTTGGAGAACATCAGGATAGGGCCCAACCACTGGGCCAGAAAAAAGAGAATTAAGTTGAGGCTGCCGGTCAGCAGAGTTCCCGCTTCTTCTTCCAGGTAACCAAATCCTGCAAATAGACAAAATGCGACGGATGTTCAAAAGTTTTGCTTATAAGCATACCGAAAACATACAAAGCATCAGAGTCTGATTTCGTTTTATAGAACATTTAAAAATACATTGCATTCTCCTTCAAAAGCTTTGCACACCACAATATTTTTACCCTTCATGGAAACGCCCTTGGTAGAACCCTCACATACTGAATTATTGCATTTCCCACTGTATTTCTGGACCAATAGCGTCTACCTCGAAAATCTTGGAAATAACGAGATTGTTGAGGAGTACAAGTTATCATTTTTAAGAATTCCTATCAATTTTGCTCCGATAGGCTAGAGAATAGTCATGGATTGGTCTGAAGGTACCAATACCGGTCTTTGGTCTTTTTCTTAACCGAAGAGTTTCTTCATTGATTTTATTAATTGCATCTGTAAATCTGTCATTAACACCCCTACGTTCTTTGAGTGGCAGTTTGTGTTCCCGGGGAATTATAAGAAAATGGTATACGACATTTTCTTTGCGCAATGCCATCGCTTGACAATAACTGGTCTTCCATTTTTAGAACAACCAATATTTTATAATCATGCTTTTCTTGCGTTCTGAAAAAGTGAAAAGGTCAGCTAGTTGTGTTTGTGTTTTCCTGCTTTCAAGCCAACCATCTTTTTAGGCAGTAATATTGCCTTTGATTATGATAGTCTCGGTCACCGCTTGCAATCATGCACACGGTATCCGGGTTACAGACTGAAACATTTGTCATAATATCCGTATCCTTGACCACCAGACCAATACAAATTAGTCAGTATCGACGTCGAAACCATACGATCTATTATTGAAAATCAGAAGCATGCTATTTGGCATTGGCCTTCATTCGTTTATATTGGACATGTAACAATCATGGACAAGTTTATATTAATGTGTAGTCTGCACGTACCCAGACGCTGGAATAAGAAGCAAACCATCAACAGGTAAATGGCAGGGTGTTTCAATATGCTCCATGTGAGTTTTCGCTTGGTCTTTGCCGGTTCGTTTGTGCCTCGCACGATGACGGAACTATCGTGAAACTCGGCAGGTGTAAGAGCAAAAGCTGATCCAAACGCAAACGCCATCACCAAAAGCTGCCAGCGGAAAAGTGATCTCCAGGAATTCCCTGTCGCCATCCGCATCAAGGCACACGCGACATAGCCAAACGTCTCAGCCTGGTGAACAGCGTGAAGCGCTCGGAAGATTCCGTCGTCAAAATGTTCCAGCACCGGTAAAATGGCGCAAATGTAAAGAAAGCCGGAAGCCATTCCTGAAAAATAAACAAATAAGATAAGTTCAAATTTTATAAGGTTTCCTTAACGAAATTTTGCATTGCAATGGACCAGTGATTATTCCAAATATATTCTGAATTACTTCAGTTCATGCATACATAACTTACATGCACATCCCTCCAGTGTTTCGACTTGACAGCAATGCTGACTTTTGAATTAGAACTCGTAGCTATCAATCTAATTCTATGTAAAAGCCTAAGTAAAGGAACATTCATTTTGACAATATTGCATTGATTTGCTTTAAACTGTACATACCAACCCCTCTGCATGGCAACATTATAGAGATACTTACGAAAGTTACTTCCTCCGCCATGAAGCATTGTAAACCTATATGTGAGACTGACGCCCCCTACAGAACAATACGATTGTATCAGTACACATCATAAGTAATGAGACGCCAATATGTCTAATTGCACTGACACCCCCTTTTGAATGTTGTACACGTACCTGCTACGCCCCCTATAAGGACGACAATGAGACCGATGAGTGAAGTATTCACGAAAGACGTGATGAGAACGGTAAGGCCAAGCACAGTAGAAGAAACCAAAGCAACAATCCTGTACTCAAACCTCACCAGCACGATTGACGCCAATAACACTACAACAAAGATTCTGAAGTTACATTTTGTGTGACATTGATACCACACCCTCAATGATTAAGATCTTTATTACGGGTATGGGGTTTTACAAGGGAGATTACATGGGCAGATCAGTGGGTATGCAGAATGGATGGTACATAATGAAGACCATTTATGCAGCAGAAAAAGTCTTCGGCTACAATACGGCCGAAGAGATATGTTTAAGTACTACCATTAAACAATGACTACGTGATTATTGTTCTTTGTCTTGTGATTTTGTCAAATTTAAGTGTTTAATGTTGATATATTGATTAGAGTAATACGCATCAAACAAGCATGTGTTTGTTGGGTTATAAATTAAGGACGACTGCTGTAAGAAGGCATTTCTGTCCGTTTAAACCGTAACCAAAGGACAAAGTAAAATAATAGGCTATGGAAACAACTATTTCTTCCAGGATGACGAATAGTGAACGAAAGGAAGGAGGACAACAATATTCTGTCTTTGGAGTGGCCCCCACAGTCCCCTGACTTGAACCCGATAGAAAACATGTGGAGAGATCTGGGTTTTGAAGTTCGTTGTCACAAGAGCAGAAACATAAGGGAATTTGAAGCGGCCTTACAGCTTGCATGGGATGGAATACCTGCTAGGATATGTAGAACTTTGGTTAGGAGTATGTCTGACCGTATACAGGTTTTGATTAGAGCTCGTGGAAGATGCAATAAATATTAATGGAATTACAATATTTTTGAAAATTTACATAATAACTGATTTCTGTAACATTATGTAAACTTAACATAATAAAATCATCAGAAATAATTGTACAATAACTTAGTTAATAATATATACAAATGTCAGATAATAGAAATAAGATTGGCATAATTTTCTATACTTTAATTATACATCGAAAAATGCACATGTAACAGAACTTTTGGAGGGCAGTGTATATTAATGACTAAACATTTAGACATGAGTTATGTATTATTCATCAGTCAAAATAATTATTATAAATAAACATCAAAATGGCTAAAATAACAAATCAGGGCAATACTAGAGAAATGATACGAAAAAGATAGAAAAATATATATATTTCAGGTCATGGGTTAATTTTGAAATATATGTTTAATAACAGATTATAAGATTGGTCTGAAATATATAGAACGGTGCTTGTGTAACATGCTTATAATATAAATTGACATTTAACTGTTGCTATGCACCATAAACCTACCAGACAGAATCCGAGTACACGTGAAAGCCAGCTGAATCTGGTCTTGGTGCTCGCCCCAGTCCGTCAAGTCCTTCTTCACCTGATCCGCTATTCCTATCTGCTCGAAGACCCAGGTAAACAGTTGACTCTCCCCGCTGATCATGAAGGTCACTACGCTGTTACATAGATTAATGAGGACACAGGCCGTCAAAAGGCCGCAACAGCCTGCGCGGGTCTCCGATGGCACTGTCGTCTGCTGGCGCCATCTCTGACGACAGAGAAAAAAAAAGTTACGAATCAAGATTGAGATTGCTAGTTAACTAATGACCTTGCATCAAGATGGTGAATCGATGAAATATGTTGGCAAAACTTAAATCTCTAATAAATTAGAGCCTTTTTTTCTCTCAATAACATCCTCTACAATTATCCCAAAAACTTAAGTGTTCGACATCTTTTGGTCCCGTATAGTGAGAGGAGGTCATATTTCCTAATCCAATCGCTTTGAACATTTAGATGATATGTAAGTTATACTTGGTTCGTATATGCTCATTACATAGAAGCTAGAATGGTAACCCCATGATTTCTCTTTGATGCAGTGCTCCTTGAATATATGCTAGGCTGACTGTAGTCGCCTTTGAAATAAGTAACTGCATCTGGTCGTATCTGGTCGTTCTGTTTTATATGTAAATACAGTTACGTAATACAGTCCATATCAGCTTTCAGTCAACGCTTCATTGGCGCTAATCCATATTTTTGGGAAAGGAGAGTGGCGACGAAACTCAATTTCCGACTTTGCCTGCATGCTATTTGTATACCCACATGTGACAAGGAACAGAGGTAATGATTGATGGTATTACTTGTGAATGTTATAATAACTATATTGTGTGTAAAGCTGATGTTTGTTTGTTTGTTTAATTCTGAAAGGAACTGTTGGATGCATTGATTTGTGGACCGGAAAATGTCCAACAGAAAAGTATGTTACTACTTGTAAGACAGCAGACGACAGACGACAGACACGGAACTTGGCTAGCTGTCGACGCACCGTTTTCAACACAGCATGCCAATATATACATCACTGGACCTTATAGCACAAAACGGCTGCATCTAAACTCATTTTGACAAGATAAGGTGCATAACAGATACCTCCTTCGTTGGGGTAAAATCCTTGACTGGTTTTTTTTATCCTATTCAGTAACATAAGAGATCGCTGGTCGGCTAACTCGTATTTTGTATTGGATATATTAAAAGTAACACGCCTTGTTAGACCTCTCACATTATTGGAGTAGGTGTTATCCTAATTAATGACCGTAAATGAGGACAACTATTACATAAGCGTGTTTTTCTCTCATATCAAAATATGAACATAATTGTGCATTTAATTTATGTTTCAATTTTCTGCCACCACATTTGTTTTTTTATAAGTCTGATCAAAGCAGGGGGACTACATAAAGAACTCTTGTAGTAATTTCAATGAGTTTCATTGTATGGCAAGTTCATATCTTGTAAACAGTATACGGTGTTTAACGCTTTTCCATTGCAGGCATTTTATTTTGCTGGCGATAACAGACCCGAAGGGGTTATTTTACCCTTTTTCTTGTCAATCTAAAGCAGTTTTCCTATTCATTACAGTGAGCGGTGCTCAGAGACTACATACAATACGTTCCTTACTCGTTGCATTTCTACATAATCCATTCATGCAAAGGCGTGTGGCGGATGTTCACCACATTTTCACAAATAAAAAGACATTAAGGAAAACTTGAAAAGGTAGGTGTACAGTTTTTATGTTATAACTAAGAACCGATATATAGTTTTTCAAGTTAGACACGGACAGAGATTTTCTGACTGCAAGCGACCAAGACACGCGTATGGCATTTTCGGGAATTAAGTATAGAAACCAACCATATACATTTTATTTCAATAGTTCCTGATAGTTTTACCACTGCACTGAATGTTTTTCGAAAAGTTCATTACGTTCATGAAAATTACGTTAAATCTCTGGAATTTCGAGGATGCTTCAATATTCAAAGAATCCTAAATATTATTTAAGGTTGTGTGGCGGATTTATGACATTTTGGGGGGGGGGGGGGGCAGTTAAAATACAATTCAGGGATGCATTGTTTAATTTCTTATTGCTTGACATATACGGAATTTAGGAAGAGTTTCTAGATATTATGCCAATGAAAATCAAACACACCTACACTGCATTCCTTCTGTATGCTTTGTGAGTTACAGCATAACAAGGAGTCGAGCTCAATTTTCAGCAGAACCGTTTAAAATCGTTTTTGGAATTCATTCCGTCATTTGGCTTTTGCAATGCGGACTGAATACTGGGATGTTTGTCGACTGGTTGAAAAACTATTTCTACTAAATTCGAATTTGGATTTTAGATACGAACGAACATGCTTTACATCAAAGCAGCAGATATAACATTATCTTGTACACAACACCTCCAATAACAGTTCCTCTCTAGCTCCATAAACTCACAGCGATATCACGTATTTACTCCATTCGTTACTGGAGTTAGCGGCGTCATACCCACCAATGTTGTTAAATTGTTGGCGTTCCAACAGTTCATAACGCGCTATCGAATTAATTAGTTTCCGTTGAACAATCAGCACAGTTTTCTACATGCGTGTATTCTTTTTCGACAATTTCGTCAATGTCCGTTTATTTGTTCACATTTATTGCAGAATTCTACCCAAATACACGAGTACCCTATCGCTTACGCTTACGCCCAATAAAATGTGTGTTTCAGGTAACATGACTTTAAAAAGGGCAGGTTGTAAGGCAAATGTATTAATTTTATTTTTTTATTTTCACTGATCAAAATTATGGTTTATATCTAACAATAAATTTCTAAACCTTACAGTGGTGTTATTAAGCTGTCAAGAATGAGGTCAGGCTCCCAAAACAGGGAGATAGCGCATTTAAATGAGTGACTGTGAGCTTTGTCTGGCTTGTAACTTACAATCGGATACAAGCAGGTGATAAAATGTGCAAGGGTAGACAGGAAAATCTAGGGCAGGTATGGATACCTGAAACTTGTCCGGGTTTCCTCTGGCCCTGACACTGTCACGGCCAGAGGAAACTCGGGCTAACCTGAAACACACACGTGTGTGTGTGTGTGATTTGGAGCGTATTAATCAGAACTGTACGTGTTTGTACTATGCTTTTTATGGTTGTTTTAACTATGATATCACTGGGGTATAAACATTGTTTAACAGTCGGCTGTAAATTCCTGTATTGGTTTGTGGTACCACGTTTATATCTCACCGCCATAAATAAAGTTTTATTTCACTCACCTTGTCCCGAGTGTCGGTGACCGTTGTAGAACCTGGCCCTATGCCTAGTTGTGTGTTCCCCACTACAATTGTGGTGGTTATCCCCGGGGCTCCTCCAATTACGTGGGTCACGCCACTTATCGGCCTGTACCCTGGGGCCTGCTGCATCGAGAGGTGTTGTACGTGTAGCGGCTGGCGAAACCGTTGATCCACTAGAATATCCCAAGTAAAGTGTTCAGTTCATTTTTATAAAATAAAAGTAGCCAGTAGTCAGATCCGTCATGCACTATGAGCCAGGCAAATGAGAGCTCACTACGTTTCATACAAAAAACACTATTCCCACAATAGGGACTCAACTACAGGATCGTGTTTGGGGCTTTCTTTTGTGTGTATAGATGCAAACATGCAGTATGTATCGGACTCTCAAGCTCCTGCACTTTTCACCTAGTAATTCGTTTCGTTACACAGATACACAGATTTACTCTGAAAATACACATACAAGTACAGGATTTCAATCCCTCGACAGTCATCTCATTAAATACATATATGTAAATGAACGTTGTCATAATTGTAATTTTGTATTTGACAGCTCTATTTTTTTCTTTAAAACAATATTTATGCTGTTGATTTTTCAGTGTTCATCTACATGTATTTAAAGCTCAAATTGTTTAAGGAGGCTCCACCCTTTCGCAATGAAATAATGAAAAGAAGCATTGCTAATCAAGCCTACAAATATTTTATTTATCATAAAATATCTACAACATGTTACACAAAACGTTTTTTTTTATTGAAATTGTTTGGATAAAAGTTACTATATACAAGCTAAAAGAAAACAGGGCACATAGTTTCGTACAAAAAGAATGAAATAGAACCAGATACACACAATGCAGGGGCGGATCCAGGATTTCCTAAAAGGGGGGGCCCCCGAGAAATTTTTCTCAATAGTCAACGGTGTGCTGCCAAAGGCCAAAGGCAGCACCCCGAGCGCGTATCGCGAGGAGAGGGAGGGTACGGGAGGGGGTCTTCCCCCTGCCGTAAGGGGGGTTTGGGGGATCTCCCCCCAAAAAATTGTGTTTTCTAGAACGTCTCAGAAGCGATTTACCGTGTTCTGAGGATTGTTTTTATGTTTAATTAACAAGAAGAAAAAAACATAATATCTCATTGTGGTACTTATAGCTTACCATCGTGTACGTACAAGAAAGTATCTTCACACAACATACTATTGTGTACGTAGTAATAAGTTGTACGTACCAGATGATATGCTGTACTTACAAGCATGATAATTTTAAATTAAATTTAAAGGTGACGCGTTAGACTGGCCACCGTCTCTAGAATATTAAATAATTAAGAAAAAACTAACTCTAATAATTTTGATCACTTGGATGTCTGATTCTAAACTAGGGGGAGATAAGTTAGTAGTAAAATGCAGTCGAGAAATTCTTCATAAAAACTTTGGGACTGGTGGCCAGTCTAGTGACGCGTATGTGCCTCCTAAGTTGTACCATTTTAACCAGATAGCTTAGCAAATGTACCACTGTTGGTAATATGCACGCCCTTACATGAGTTAATCAGCGTGGACATTTCAGATATATCATTGTCTACACTAGTGAATTAGTCAACAATTATAAAACGCGAGACTATATAGCTAGTGGCCTTGGGTGTCGCACTGATTTGAACTTATCCGTTTGTTTAGCAACTTAGTGATGCCATGAGTAACTCATTAATTAAACAGCAACGATGTTATGGTGTTATTTGTTCTTTTGTACGACAAACTATTACATGAAGTACTGTACTGTAGGTACAATGTCTGAAGACTAGATATTGTGCGTCCCTACATTTATTTTTTGACGGTGGACCTCTCGTATCCCCCTTGCGGGCGGGACGCCAAATTAGGTAATAATGAACAAGCCCCCTGTGGATTCATACATTTGTCATCACCAGGTTGCCCCTATAATAATACCATCTGACTTCTAAAACACGCTGTTGATAGAGAATTTGAACCGAAACTTTAATTTTCTTTCCAGTACACAAAAAAAGTCTTTGGGCCATACTTAAAACACGATGTGTGGGGCGTAGCCCCAGATTTTTTTTTATACAAGCTCCGTGCATTATTTGATGCATTTTAAAATGTTAATATGTTCCCATTCCCGGCCGATCAGACCATTTCGGGCCGGCCCGGAAAAGGTCAGTCCGCCGCCAAAAGGGGGGCCGGGGCCGGGTGTGCCCCCCCCCCCCTAAATCCGCGGCCTGCAAAGTCTTTTTTATTCATTAATTTTACATTTTGCAATAATATTGATTCTGATGAGAGTTGTCTACCTTGAAAAATATCGGAACTTTTTGCAGAGGGATAGAATTTATACAATGACAGCTGTTTTCTTTACTATAACAAAAACATGGAAATAAATTAATTTCTATATTAAATTGTCAATTTACTGTTCTTTAATGGAACAAAATTACTCACAATCATGTACACTTTGGACATCATTCCATAGCCCGCTTACGCATGGTACATATGTAACCATAGGCTATCGCATGGTATGCCGTTATCACGTGCACGCACATGCACTTGTATTTTAAAGGGATCTTGATATTTTACCAACCAATATTTTCACAGAGTAGTTGTAATTGCATTTGTGAAATGATTTATCTGACAGAGTGTAACTCGCTCGACAACAAAAGTCGTAGCGACCCCGAGCTTATGAACTACTGTTAGCACATGATATGTACAGGACGACCTTCTTGAAGTCGTCTGACCTTATGTCAGTGTCTTCCCGTGAGTTAATTAATGTCTTTGTATCATAAGCTTTTTTTTCTTCTGAAATACGTGTGATTACACATTTCCAAGTGAAGTCTCGATATCGGGTGTGGACATATCTTCGTCACGCACGTGTACTATTGTGTACCCGGTGTTACAATACACTACGGTAATGGAATGCTCGATTAAAGTGGCTCCACACTTTCGCAATTAACCAAAAAAAATCGTTGAAACTTTCATATAATGGTAATGCAACTATGTAGAGTTGATTTTATGAAAATCTAAACACTCCGATAGTTTGGAAACTTTTTTGGAAAAAATACCAAAAAATTGAATGTTCGTCAATTTTAATATTTTCCGGGTTTTTTTGTGTGTGTGACATTGTTCGGAACAATAACAACAATAATAAAATGAAAAGAAGCATTTCTAATTAACCCTACAAATATTTTATTTATCGCAAAATATGTAACACATGTTACACAAAGTGTTTTTTATTGATTTTTTAAAATCTCGATATCGGGTGTTGACATATCATCGGCACGCACGTGTACTATTGTTTACCAGGGGCCTGTTCGTTAATCCTGGCGGACCAGCAAATGTGTATGCAGGCCTTGCAGGCTTTCTCAAGGCTCGCCTGAAAGCAGCATCAGATTACTAGGTCCGACCTTATTTAATAAACGAACAACAGTGGTCCGATCGGGCTGACCGTTTTAACGAAAACGGCCCAGGTGTTACTATAATTTGCACTACGACATTGAATGCCCGATACGCAATACGGAAATGACGACACGGTGTACATGCACATTTCGATCAAGGTAATTGAGTCCGAGCTGTACTTTTTCCGGAAGTACGTCACAAAAATGGACGCTGATGACGATGTGTGGAGCCACCTTAACGAAGGGTGGGAAGTCCTAAACTGTCATTACGTTCACTACATCCGATGGGAGGTTGTTCCATATGTCGTTGACGTTATACATCTTGTATACTAGAGATCAACTGGTTTTTTTGTGNGAAGGGTGGGAAGTCCTAAACTGTCATTACGTTCACTACATCCGATGGGAGGTTGTTCCATATGTCGTTGACGTTATACATCTTGTATACTAGAGATCAACTGGTTTTTTTGTGTTACCTTGTCCAAGGGATTCTCCTGACATATCGAATCAGATATCTTTTCATCCGCACTAAGATTTCTTTTTCAACATTTATCTTTTTTAACCCAAATTAGATTTTATAGTTTGATCGATTTTTCCATATTTGGTCCCTCCCTTCTGTCGTCATGGGGAGGAGGCACAACTTGCATCTTGACCTGTACAACGTTGCACTATTTAGGTAGAGATACCCCATGCCACGCATAGTCAAAATTATTTTACCCATACACACATTCATGTTTATGTAGTGTGTCTCTTGTGCTTTATCATCCTCGATATCCTGGGGTTATGCTCACTTTCGTACTCTACATACACCCCTGGAATATGTTATAGCAAAATTGAAGGCTCAAAGTGCAGCACCTTGTGGACGAGACGGGAAAACTAGTTCGATCCTTTGACGAACATCAAAAGAATCTCGCCATGACGTAATTGACCGGTATTTCACCCCCTCGACCTGACGGCGACAATGCGAAATACGCGTATCAACCACAGGTAATAGCCTCGTCTGTAAATACGCCCAAAATTATGATTATACTATGTTGGGGTGCATTGACAGACGAGGCTAGTACATGTGTATCAACTTTTCCTTTTCGCGAGAATGCTCTGTCGTATGTTTGCGTTGTCGATCTTATAGATCGACAGGGCGACATTTTGATTTTTTGGTCCTAACCGGTCGTCATAATATGATCCAATACTCAGCGTGTTCTAAGAAGTGAAGAAAATGAAAG